AGTTCATCTTTGCATCTCCTTTTGCTGGGTCCCTCCAATAATGTACCTTCTGGAGTTTGGTTGGGCTTCATTGTAGACACTTCCCCTCCCCCCACACCTGTGAAATCATTCTTTTCCTTAGAGGTGCCCTTGAAATGGATGTTTTAGTATCAGCATTTGCAAAGATTTTGCCCTCAATTTCAGTTTACTCTTAGACTGCCTGCTGAAAGATTCTTGCCCTTCTCTGCCTTTCTGTTAGTTGATTCTCAACCAGCCCACATCCCTGGCATACAGGTATGTGGATAGGAATGACCTCGTCGGATAATTGCCGCAAGTAGCTACCTGCTCCCTTGTCTGACAAATCTCATTTATTAAAAACCTTTGCAGTTTTTTAGTTTTCTTTATCATGAAGCTACCCTGGATGCTGCTCATCTTACTAGTCAAATCTTAGCCAGAGGCTAACACGGGAGGGAACCAGCTTGTTTGGGGGCGAACAAGCTTCTGGAGGGAACTGGGCTGGAGGGGGATATGGAAGTGATATGGGTGGTGGAAAGATTCCAAAACCTCTGCTTCAGTTTCTGCTAGGGTTCTGGACTGAATCAGGGAAAGGAATATGGGTAAGATCAAATCAGATCAAGTTGGCTCAGTGTGCGGTTTAAAGACAGGAGAAGGGCATCGATGTTGATTTCCATTTAGACTGAATAATGTGTTTGTGTGTGTCCCTCAGTGTGATGACAATGGACCTTAGTGCTCTGAGGGAGGTGATGGTCAGAAAGCATGGGAAACTCTGAATCAGTTTTTTCTTAGTGAGTCTGTGCTTATGGTGAGAATTATAAAGAGATGTGAGAAATAATGCCTGCGCTCTAAAACCTTTCATCTAATGGAGGAGACGCGATGTTTAGAGAGGAAGGTAACTCAATAGCAGGTCATGAGTGTTTAGAGCCAAATGAGACACAGAAGCAGTCTGGGATCCAGAGGAGGGCTGAGCGGGTGAAGGGAGGCTCGCAGTGAGGGTGGCCTGAAGATGGACTTTGAAGGATGGGGGAGGCTAGAGATTCCCTAGGTCTGTCTGGAGGGCAGGAAGGGAGCAGGATTTGTCAAGGAGATTGATAGGTGGGAAGCTAGGAGAGAGAGAGACAGTTAGGGGGCCAGTACATCAAGAACCTGTGGTGCATGAGCAGAGGAGGCAGGAAGAAAGGAGCAAGATGTGACTCCTGGTCACTGGAGCACTGTGGCATGAGGACCACGATGCCCCTTAAGATCCTGGCTGAGATGTAGTTCTGAGAGGAAAGGGGGGGTATTGGGCTAAAGAGGGGATACACAGGTTATGGGGGGAGGGACTTCCTTGACAGTTCACAGATAGTTCCGAGCATATTGTGGATCATCCGCTTTGCTGTGGCATTCTAGGGTGATCCACACCAACACGAACGGAAGAAGAGCCAGGGGCTGGGAGTCTCTGGGACCCCCTCCTTTTTCCTCTTCCATCTTCCCCTCCCGCCCCCTCCTCTTGTTCTCTGTCTTCATATCATTCCTTTCACATGTTTTCTGTTTTCCTTTAACATGATTTCAAACTTAAACAAAAATTGCAAGGTGAGTACAGATAACTTTTTTTTTTTTAATTTTTTTTTTTTTTTAAGATTTATTTATTTATACAAGCACTGGGTACAGTCAGAAGTGCGGGAGGGTGAGAGAATTCACCAGAGCCAGAGCGGGGAGCAGAGCAGGCAGAAGGACCGAAGTACACTGCTGAGGGGAGCAGCGGGCGGCAGGAGAGGTCTGCGCGCCATGTGGGACTCTCCTCCGGTGGCCGGGGAGCAGCTGGGGATCGAACCGGCGCAGCAGAGGCTACGGGCAGCTTCGCAACCCAGCGCTCAACCGCTGCGCCACCAGGGAGGCCCAGTACAGATAACTTTTTAAGTTTGAAACCATCTGAGAGTTGCCAACTTGACATCCTAACACTTCCACATATTTTAGTGAGTAACTCCTATAAAACAGAATATTCTCCCCAATCACACAACTATTAAAATACGAAATTAACCCTGATCCATTACTAACATCATCCTGAGACCTCATTCAAGTCTGCCAGTTGTCCCAACATCCTTGACAGCAAGAGGATCCAGTTCAGAATCACATGTAGACACCAGGTCTCTTTTGGTATCTAAGCGAGAAAGGAAGGGCCAGACAGAGGCCAGGAAGTTCTTTTTAGATTTTACAAACCATCAGCCCCGACAGGAAGTAACAGCAGCCTGTGCACAATACTTCCTAATATTCTTTTTACAACCCAGGCAACTTTCAATTGTCTGCCTAAATGAGTGGTAGCATGATAAACTTGGAAGGTTTTGGATTTTTTAATGTGTTTCGCAACGGTCTTGTAGCTGCCTTTTTTTTCCCCCCCTTCGGTTTTGCTTAACTTACATGAACACATGTGCAGGTGAGAGATGTGCTGGATAGTAGAGGCTGGTTCCTATGATCTGTTAATACTCCACGAAGTAGAAAACAGATTCTTTTATCCCGCAGGTATTCCTAAAGTAGATCAGCTGAACCTGAGCACAGCCCCAGAGATAGAGATGCATTTGTTAGAATTTGCAGATGTTGCTTTAGTTTCATCTTATAGTCCATGGTCTCGGGCTCACCATAATTGCCTATTTCATATAGCTTTCGTCTTTCATTTTGCAAAATGATTCATGTAGAGTATAATGTGCATGTCAGAGTGATTACTTACCCAGAAATTTTTCTTCCTCTGATAAGATTGCTTATTTCCTGCACAAAAGTAGGGATTTTCAGATAAGGTATAGGAGTTACCCTTTGTCTCTTTCTTGTTTGAGTTCTGAGGCTTCATTCATTCATTTCTTCATTCAACCTACCTTTAGTGAGCATTGATTGCTGTCTTCTGTGGGGACACATATATCAATAAGAATTTTTTATCCTTGAGGAGTTTACCATTTGGTTGTTAGGCAGCCAAATAAAAGACATGCTTACCAAACATTCATCATACTTACATATGACATATTCAAAGTTAAATGAATAAAATAGTTCCATTTTACTACCTATAGTCCACTTTTGTTTTATGATGTCTGTGAACTATGGCTAATAACACAGTAAATCTTCACTTAACATTGTGAACAGGTTCTTGGAAACTGACTTGAAACAAATGACATACAATGAAATTAATTTGACCACAGGGTAATTGATATAAGCAAGAGTTAAGCTCTTATGGCCAATTTTTGGTCACTATCATCACACTCCTAATAAAAACTCAAAAATACTTTCAGTGTTAAAAATATAATTTGTATTCATTCATTCCATCATTCATTCATTCATTCATTCATTTTCTAGCCTACTTATCCCAGATCAGGGTCTCATGTGGCCAGAGTCTATCCTGGCAGCTCAGGGCCCAAGTAAGACCCAAGCCTGGACAGGACATACTTTCATGTCAGGGTGTCTGATTGGGACAATGTAGGCATGTAGGGGAACCTCAGGTTCATGTCTTTGGGATATGGGAGGAGACTGCAGTACCCAGAAAAAAAAACCCTGTGGACAAAGGCAGAATATGCAGACACCCAAAAAAAACTGTGGCTCTGGTTGATGGCCAGTTTTTTTTTCTCATCAACATTGTAACAAAATGATATGGAATGAGATGATGTTATTCCAGCATTTGCTGTATTTATCCAACAAGGCTGTGTTAAGGGTTAAAAAAGATGAAGTATGTCATCACATACTGGCTAACATAAGTTAGCACTTAACAAATGCAAGCTCCCCTCTCCTGCTTTTATTTCCTGGGAAAATTATTTCCCATAACCCCTTATGGCTACTCATCTGTTTATAGCAAGTTTTAAGGAAATCTCTAGTAACAATTCCCTACGACCTCTTTTTGAGTCTGTATAAATGACTCTAAGCCTTCTTTGCAGCCAAGGATTATGACAGCCTGCTTTTGTTTTATTTTATAATATACCTTTTTAAAATAAAAATCATTGATGAGTGTTGCTGAGTTCTATTTTATTTCATTTCTTCTTGACTCTGTTGTAATTCTGAATGGATCAGGGTTAGTGTGACTCTGAGGTTTGGGCTGCTTCTGCCTCACTGACTTTGTAATTGGCAGCACCACAGGGACCTGTAGAATGAGAACTGGACACATTATCGACTTGACTGAAGATGTGGGCATCATGACGATTGGCAAAGTGATGGGTAGACACCAGTGTATGCTCTCAGCGGAGTAACTGGCGCTAGACCACAGATTGATTCTGTTGTGAGGGTCAAATTTCTCCAAAGGGCAGATGAAAGTGTTCAATTGAATATCACCTCAGGTCACAAAAACTGCACCCCTGCTACCCAACTGTAGGTGTTCCCTTAATGCCCCTTATTATCTTGACTCATTTTTGACAAATACCCGCTGTGGAGTTGGGTTCCTGCTGTTGCTGTTGTTGTTGCGAGTAACCTTTACAAACAAGTCTTGCTAAGGAGATGAGTCACTTAATCACAGTCTGCGTGCATCCCACCACCCAGGCCCCAGGCTGTGGGGACGAGGTGAGGGGGCTGCACTATGGGTGTCAAGGAAGTAAGTGGGGAGCAACTTCCTTCACTCATCGAGAAAGTTACTTCTGGGCTGCCATCTGGTAGCAGAAATTACTTCTCCAAAATTGCTAGTATAAGTTAATGGGGCCTGGCACATCAGCCGCAACCTGGACTGTTTGCTCCTTCCTATCATGCACCAAGGCATGGCTCTACTGGATCTGGTGTGAGAATTCCTCTCCTCCTTTTTCTTTAACATTCCCATTGGGCAAGCACATAAGAGATCCATACATTCTATAACACGACACCTCTTTGATGCTTAACTCTTTACATATGATATCACTAAGGGGGCTGGGTAGGGCTGCTGAATTCAAAGAGGGGCCACACAGAGACTGGGAGGCTCAAAAACAGCCCGCCTTTATGGGTGTTCTTGTGAGAGCCCATCTCCCTTTGGATTTATGGCTCTCGTTGCTTCCATTAATTTCCTTTCTTCTCACCCTTCTTAGATAATTAGTCTACATGTCTCAGCTGTTGGTGCGTCAATGAATATTTGCTGAATGAATGAGCAAGAAGCACTATTGCCAAGGTGGATCAGCCCTCAAGATGTACAAAAGTGACAAAAAGAAGGGGATATCACAGACTGTTACTGAAGCAGCTCCCTGAGGTGAGAGATCTTGCTCACTCCCTTGGCAAGGCCAGCAGGAGTGTAGGGAAAGACAGAAAATGATGAAGCCACGTGGCTTTTGCCTATCTGGGATAAAGGGTTTCCTGTTAAAAATTTTTTTGATTGTGTTATTTGTTTATTGTGATGATGTTGGTTTACAACATTCTGTCTGGTGTAGGGTACAGGTTCACACCTCTTCAGATGCATGTTGCACCATCATCATCACCAAAGCTCCCATAATCCTCTATGGTTGTGCATTGCTCCCCACTGCGTGCCCTCCCCCCCGGGAGCCTGAATTCTACATTCAGATTTCAATGGCTTTTTTGGTTTAGTTTTGGCTGACTCTTTGTTCTGTTTCTTTGTATTTCATAGATGAATGAAATCATCTGGTGTTTGTCTTTCTCCTTCTGGTTTGTTTCGCTTAGCCTAATCAATGGACTTCCTTTTTTAACGAAAGTATTTAGGAAATGGAAGGATCGCTAGTAGGCATGCAAAGAAAAAAATGTGTTTTAGAGCCAAATGTAGTCCCTGGGCTTAGAATGGTGGTGCATAAAGGAATGATGTAGATAAATGAAGTGCTAGATGATTCAGAGTTGGTAGCCAGCCACCTGAAATCCTGGGGGTTCTCGAGGTAGCTTGCTGTTCTGGAGACTTAATTACCACTGTAACTCATGACACTTAATTGTGTGTCAGGTAGACTCATTTTTATGCTGAACTGCAGCCTGGTGGAAATAAATGATGCTTCTTTCTCTGTCTCCCGCAAACTGACCCACCAGGTTTCTGATGCACATCTTGTTACTCCTCTTTTTTAGAGTTCTTGCAGAGAATTACCAGCAGTAACATGATTTTGTGTAGAATTCACATAAAACTTGTAGAATCACAGAACCCTAAAGTTTAGGAGAATATTTAGTTGATTACAATAAGGGAAGAAGCAAGTCACATATACATAGAGTGTGATCCTATACCTCTAAATCTTATGCAGTGTTGTAAACTGATGCTACTGCAATTAAATAAAATAAAAGCAGGGCCTCCCCGGTGGCGCAGCGGTTGAGCGCTGGGCTGCGAAGCTGCCTGCAGCCTCTGCAGCGCTGGTTCGATCCCTGGCCGCCGGCGAGGGTCCCACATGGCACGCAGACCTCTCCTGCTGCTCTTTGCTCTCCTCAGCAGTGTACTTCGGTCCTTCTGCTTGTTCTGTTCCCTGATCTGGCTCTGGTTAATTCTCTCACCCTCCCGTGCTTCTGACTATACCCAATGCTTGTATAAATAAATAAATAAATCTTTAAAAAAATAAATAAAAGCAAGTAAAATTCCAGGGAGCTTACCTTTAAAGTACATTCATCTAATTTTAATTTAGGAACTTAGAAAATATCTCTTTCTTCAATAAAGAAATACTTTTATTCTATCCACTATGTTAGATCCTAATATTACTATAGTGCAAAAAATTATGGATAGAAAAATAGATAGTTTCCTTTGGAACAGAAAGTAAAAGATAGGACCCAAAACCATGCAGAAAAACCTGAAGGAATTTTATTACCTAGTCCTGTAATTACTGAACAGAGCATGAGTAGTCCTTAAAATTTTTACATCTGTTTTTCTAAAGAGTCAGCCTTCATTACCCTGTAGTCATTAATTTAAATTTAAAACCAGAAAAGACTCGTGATTATCCAACTCCTGAATATGAGACCAGCTGTTTGGAAAGTGATTTTTAATGTAGGGGCTCCTAGCTTTTTCTTGAAGCTATTCCTTTTGGTCTCCCACGAACCCAAGAACACTGAAGAGGACCTAAGCAAAGGAGAAGTTTGTAGTTGAAGATTTATATTTATAGCCCTTGATGAACTGAATACATTTACAAGCTGCATTTTGAAATCATAATGTTCTAATGTGAAGCAATCAAAATCCCAAAATCATCTAATCAAGAATGACATCAGAGGCAAACAATCTCTCAATGGAGTAGGTATAATTCCCTCTGTAAATCTTCGATTTAGAGCAGATGTTTTAATTCTGTGGATTAAGTCAAGAAGTATTGAGCTAAGTTGTCCAGAAGATAGTTACTTAGAAAAGGTGAACCAATATGGAACTTAGTTTTCTTAAATAAAATGTGGTCATGAATAACTCCCACCTCCATTTCCTATCCTAGCTCAGAACCTTCCTTCCTTAGTCAACTAGTTGGGTTGCCAATCAAAACATAGAGTCCACTGCCAAAGGGAAAGGGATGCTATCGAAGGACCATCTCTGGGGATCCAAGTCCAGTAGAAGAATGACTGTTGTCTCTTGTATAGGAGATTCTCTTCCTGGCCATGTCGCCCAGTCCTTTCCCTATAGACTGAGAAACAAAAAAGAACAGCAGCAAATTCTTGCAGCTTTTCAATTCTAAGGAGTAGCTATTTTGGTTCATTGATCAAGTAAGACATATGGATTCAGAAATACAGGATCTGTATGTTTCACATCTCATCATTTGGCATTTTGATTAGGTGGACCTCTTGCTGCAGAAGGGCGGGTGAGGAACGTATTGATACGGCCCTAGTTATTGCAACATTTGGGCCTTGGCCCCTGATCTAGAAGCAGAACTGTCGGCTCCAAAGGTCTGTTGTTAACAGTTTATGCAGTGTTGTCAGAAGCTGTATTCGTTCTTTACTGTTTTCTTATTGCTTTTATAATAAATATTTACAGATTTATTGCATACTTATTTTCCAAATGGATAGACATTTTTAGAAATGACATTTCTGAAAGTGCAGAAGCTATCTGGCACATATACAGTGTGTCGTACCATGTGTTTTCTGACAAGAGCATCATCGAAACTGTCTCTGTAGTTTATCTGATGAAACTCTATTGCGATACATTGTATCAAGTTTATGGCCCCATTCTTTTCTCCTATGCTTTTTATTTTTACATATGACATAGGGAAAATGGCAAGATTTTCTTTATTTCCTAGCAAAATAATCTGTAAAACTGCAGGGACTTCTCTCTTTCTGCGAATGGAGTGGGGGATCATTCATTCTTTCTTCAGCTCGTCTCTGCCATTAGAGAATCCATTTCCAGTCCATTGTCAACTTCTTAAAAAGATGGGCAGATGAAAGGAGAAAGTCTTGCAGGAAACTATAAGATGTCTTAATGTTTAAACTATATATTATTTTGATATATCTTGATATTAGATGGACAATCCTTGAGTCCATTTTGGTGTTACAGTGTAACATGAAACCAGAGTTGGCTATTTTTCTGACAAAACTATGAAAGTGTTCCAATACCTGCAGAAGAAGAGGTTCTGTGACATTCTTAGAACTAGAGTAAAACCTTATTTTGTTAGTTATCTTGGGTTCAGAGAGTCCATGGGTTACTTACTTATTTTTGGTAAAATGTTCAGGCTTTAAGACTCTATATAGAAATATCCAGGAAAATATCAGGGGACAACAGCTTCTATGTGACTTCAATTCTGTTTGCTGATGTGGATGTGGATATTTTGTGGTATCAACCACAGTGTCTGTGTTTATAATCGTTAATTTATTTTTTCTCTATTAGAGTTAATATAGGAGACTTAAATTATGCTAATTTGTTCTTGTTTTGTCCCCAAACGAATTCCCAATGTCAGGTAGCTATGTCATTAGCAGAAAAAGAATATAAAGGACAGGCTATGTGTCTATTTATATAGAAAAGGTAACTAAGACCAATGGGTGGATATTTCAAGGAACTTTCATACTGTAGACACTTTTATCAATGAAATGGTCTGTGAAAGATAGTACGCTCCCTGCTAATAGGCATGTTTAAGCAGGGCTGACTCATCACCACCAAGATCAGTTCAGAAGGGATTCTTGCATTGTGTTGTATCTTGTCTTAGGTTTCAAGTTTGTCAATTACAGGCATTCTAAGAATCAGTGTTCTATCAATTTACATATGTAAAATTTCATTAAAGTAAGATTTCACTAATTTGTAATTTGGAATAATTGGGTTGAAGTCTTTCATTACATAGCACATATTTTTTTCCTTTTAAAGAGAGTATAAATAAGATTAGAGGAAGATTATAAAAACACTTAAAATATGCTGCTGTGTTTAAATACCCTAGAAACACCAATTTATTTAGAAAAATGGTATGCTCATTATAAATCATTTATTAGATATTAATCTCTGTTAGATAGTACCTATTAGAATAAGCTTAAAAGTAATAAAGCTGTATTTCTTTGGGCAGAGTCTAATCAGAGAGATTTTTTTCCCCTTCTAAATTGTCTGAGTCAATAGTACTTTACATATATTTATCTACATATGTTAAAAGATATTTTTTAAAGGCAATATCATGACTCTTACACAGATATAAAATGAACACATGTCAAAATTTTTATTTAACTCATTAATTAATGAGAGAACCAGAAGTGTTATATAGTTCAAATAAATTGTTATATTAGTTCAAAGTGGAATCCAAAGGCCAGATACATTTATGGGCCATTAGGAATGCCAAAATGAATTCCTTTAAATAGATAGGCAACTGGCTTTCTTCCACAATGGGAAAGGAATATCAATTGAACCTCCACTGGACAGATTTTTGCATTTCTATGGCAAGGGATTAATTGCTTTACTATCAGGTTTCTACAAGTTAACTTTTACCTCTCCAGAGTTGTTAAATAGCCTAATTGACAACTATGAAATGGAGAGAAAACATGAATAGATGGACTGGTGAGGGGGATCACTAAATTTCAGATACTTCCTCAATTTCTCCTTACACACACACACACACACACACACACACACACACACACCCTATCACTGGGTATTATAGCCATGCTGTGTTAGATGGAGAATCCCCATCTATTGTTATTGAAGCAGCAATTACTTTTATGTTTAAGACTCAAACAAATTTCAGAAATCAATTTTATCTCATTTTCAACTCCCAGTCTAAATAATAATGGTGAATATTATGTGAAAGAGCACAAGATTTATTAAGATAAGTGATGGCTACACACAGGGTAAGGGGCTCAGTGTTCTGTGGATGTGACCTTGTTGGGTGGACCTCC